ACTGATAACATGTTCACTTCTAAACTGTACAATGGCAACAGATATTCCATTAAGGAGACTTTTTTTTTCATAAAATGTCATTTCACCTCATACCTCAATGGCTGCAGGCATACACTCAAATACCCACTAAACCAATCACGCCACAAAGGCCGCTCACTAAATTGTATTTTAATATTTGTGTATGTATACTGAACATATTTAGCACCGTTACGTAGCTAACTGTACTACATCATCATGCCCAGCACACAATTGACGAGCGCCGACGAAGATTTTACTAACTGTATAGGCCGCAATCAAACGTTGGGAGAAACTGCCTACGCACAACTTGCCAATTTGCAGAATTGCTTGCCAAATACGATGAAACAAGAACATTTTCCAACACGTGAATCGGGCTCAATGTGTATACAGCATTGACAAGGGGGTAATTGTGATGAAAAAAGACAGAGACAAACACAGAAACTGGGGTTCCTGGAAAAAAAAACCTTTACACGAAGGGGAAGAAAACTTGAAAATTTTAAGTACCAGAAACGTAGTCTGTACTGCCTACTACAGGCCTTATTAATCTTTACCCTCGTTTAGGTGCCACACAAAATGTATTTTGCATCCTTGCACGATCCGCTAACGATCAAGTCAAGTACATGAAGGGACAGAGAAAGTAAACATTGCCAGAAAAAACACAGCATGTTCTTTTAAGTAAATTTTTTGTTCAGTAAAAAATGTCTAGGGCCTATTTGACTGTGCCTTATAACTGTAAAAGTACACTTTTGCTGGATTTCACCATGACCAAATAAAAACTCTAATTCACAGCTAGTTAACCCCCCTCAGGCAGCTCGTATGTGCCAAATGCTGCATTTACTTGGCTGCGTCCGTGTATCCCTCAATGTGACCGAGCATGTGCCTGGTGCAGCTTCAAAAGCGGCATTAATGAATGTGATGTTTCATTTCCTCCCGGGGGCTAAAGGAGCCATTCGCCATCGCAAATAGACTGAGGCCTAACAAAGCATACCGCTGGATGGTGATCAACTGCCAAATGCCTTCCATTAGATATGCTGTTAAGTAGACACGACAAACAATAATATCATGGTCCATATCAAGATTTACCTTTGTTTCATTTCATCAGGATATCTTTTTTACATTAAATATGTTATTGCCTTACTCTTTGCGGGGTTTAGTGTGTCGAGACAACAGGCCTTGTCTGTCGGCTATAGTCAGTGAATGCATCCATCCATTTGCACGCATCTGGATGTTTGAGTGATGCAGTGCCAATTATAGCCAGACAGTGTCTGCAAAGAATGCAATGGACTTCTGTACAGTTCTATTCCTGATTCTCGTTCATACACGTAATATACTCAAACGATTTGAAAGCGGTCCTAGATCATTTAGTGGAGTTTCAATCAATTATATAGTATTATAGTTTAGTGGCATTTTCTTTGGTTCTTTCGGTAAAGTCTACGTGACTTTACCGAAAGAACCAAAGAGTATGGATTCCTGCAGTCATGAAAGCTTCAAATCAAGATTGTAGTGGCATTGTTGGACGTGATCGCCACTACTCGTAGCTGGCAGTACCGGCCCCGTGTCAACAGGGAGCAGAAGGGAGGCTGAGCCACCTAGGTAAATGGGTCAGGCCGTTAGCCCAAGGTAATCCCTGAGGAGCATTGTGACCAGGGGTGCGGGACCCCAGACCCCATGAAGTGGGCTAGGGGGGATGACGTCACACTCCAGGTCCTTCAGGAGGATTCCAGAAGGAAGGTGTGGCTCGGGGCGGAGTGAGCTGGGACTGTGTATACAAGCCGGGTCCCTGAACGGGCCCAGCAGTTGTCGTCCACTCGAAGACTCAAGAAGCCACCTGGAAGACCTGGAGCCTTGGCTTGGTCGGGTCTGAGCAGCCCCGTGGATAGGACCCGAGGACCTTGGCTGAGTCGGGCCAGGTTAGTCACACTAGGTCCCGCTAGCCGGAGGACTCTTAGCGGGCAGCTCTCCCAGTGTATAGGGCGTGCGAGTTGGAGGACATACCTCCTTAGGGTATCGGGTGGAAGGGGCCGTAACCCCTTTGTGTTAGGCTGCGTTAAGCTGTATTGTTATTGAGTAATAAACGTGTTGCCTCCAAAGAAGCCTCCTCCCATTTGTACCCACTACAATAGTGTTATCCTTATACGACTGATTTGTGTTCCCAGTGTATCCGATTATTACCATGCTTGTTTAACCAGGAAAGGTTCGCCGAGTCAAAATACTTTTTCAGGAGGGTTCTGCCAAATGTGTGCGGTAGGGGGCAATATTGCTGTAGGTAATCTGAATTGTAATTTTTCAGCTTTGAGATGTTTGGCCAATGCCAGTTACACCGGATGCTTTTGTTGCTATTGGAAAGAACCAGAGAACCCGGAGGAAAGTCCATGAAGAACAGTGTGAGAACTTATTTTGCACCATACGAAGCCAACCGTGCTAATCGCAGATGTGGGGAAAGGACAATAAACTAAACACAAAATGCATTTCTAAAGAAATGAGTTTTAATTTAGATTTAAAAGAGCATAGCTCCAGTAGCTTCCTAATATCAGAGGGAAGAGCGTTCCACGTAGAAATAAACGAGAGTTGTGAAATGCTATGAACACAAGTGTAACCACTTCTCCACCCTGCCACCCAATTAAAGATTGGAGACCTTCAATTTATGATGCATTTAAATTCCATGCCTTGGTCATACTGGAAAACACAGGTGATATCAATCTTGATTTGAAACTTTCATGACTGCAGGAATCCATACTCTCTGGATCTTTCGGTAAAGTCACGTAGTAAGGAAGGACGTCGGGTGGATGCCTGAATGGCATCTGTCTCAAATTTCTCCATGAAAATGTTCGCTACCACTGGTGATAGGGGAGAGCCCATTGGGGTATCTTCATTCTGTTTGTAGAAAGTACCATTCCAGGTGAAGTAAGTGTTGGTAAGGCAGTGCCTTACCAACGAAGGTACATCAGGGGATCCAATCTCTGTTGGACTAGCTCTTCAATGATTGCAATAGTAACCGCTTGTCGTCATCCTCACTCGCCCGGTTGTCGTTGTCCGATGACTACTTGTACGACAAGTCCATTTACTTGTTAATTTCTCTCCCCCCCCCCCCAGCCATGTACACCACAAACCCTTCCCCCTCTCCCTGGTGCTTGCCCCCTCCCATCCCTGCACGCCACAAACCCTCCCCCCCTCTCCCCTGTGAACTCCTACAGCCAAACTCCTCCCCCCCCCCCCTTTCCCTCTCTCCTCCCGTGCCTATATAAAGCCAAAACAGCAGATCACTTTTTTCTCACCTGAAGACGGACGCTTGTATTGCGACCGAAACGTCGTGTTTTATTTTATTTTATTATTTTTCTATCTACGTGACTTTACCGAAAGAACCAGAGAGTACAGGTGATATCCTTAGTGAGTTTTTGTCAAAACACCAACACAGAAAGATGAAGATATTCTTAGCATTTCCACACTTGTTTATATTTGTATTCTTTAACACATTCTGGAAAGCCTCAGGATAGCATCGTTATTTACAAACCCGAATTTAATCTGGCTGCCTTGCGAGAAAATTGCAAAGCAACTCTTCTGAAAAAAAATTCAGGACAGGTCTTTTTTAATGCAATAGTTGCCAGATATTGAGTTGAGACCATTACATTGAGTATGGGTTTAAAACAGCCAATTGCTCCCAGAGCCACCTGCCAACCTGTTGTGGTCCTGCATCTGACTCTTCTGTGTAACACATGCAACAAAAGCAATGTTGCAATAAATGATCGTCAAGATCAAGCAATTGCAATGAGGGTTTGCTACATGGGGAAGTGTCAAATATATTTGTTGCGAGTTGGTAAATTTTCTTACACATTCCATGTCTACAGAATATAGTGTGTGTGCTTCTGCTTGTAACTGTTAATGCTTATGAAGGCACACTTCAAAATGTGCAATAACAACCAAAGTCAAACGAGAAGCTTAACTCGAACATGAAAATGCAATTTAGTGGATAACATTATTGTAAAGAATTAAATACGAATTGTAGCCGAGCTGAGCTCAAGCGCCGAGCAATGTTTCAAACAGGGTAATACAATTAGGTCACCATTTGTCCTCCTAGCGGGCCCGGTCATCTCATTCCCCAAGGCCATTTACACGTAACAGCTGTGTGCTACAAATGTAATTAACACACACACTGACAGCCAAAGTGGCATGTCTGTTGGGGATGTACCGAGTTTTATTTAGGAACTGATATTTACCGCATTAGTAAAACAGAGAGGTCAAAGTTTCCCTTCGTTGCAAGAGTAGGGTTCACAAACTCAGTGATTTTAAATATAGGTATAGGGCAATGTTGACCAAAATTAAGACTACTCCTGCATATGATTTGCTGGTGTTGATACAGGGAATAAAGAAAGTTATACACAAATATAACTCAAGCATATATATGTTAGACTTGTGCAATGACCATGTACCCTAGTGTGTAAAGGACAAACTAATCTTTGAGGATGTGAATGTCATACGGTAAATACTTTTTGTAATTAATGACAATGTTATTTGTCAATAAAATGTTGTCTGTGGTAACCAGTTCTTGTGGCACATGATCATTATGACTGCGGACTAAGCAACATGCCAAGCTGCATCATGAAGTGAAAATTATGCATCTCTGCAGAAAATGTAAAGTCACTCATGAAAAACTATTAAATGTCACATGCAGTAACAATGCCAGACGATGCCAATTTGTTTTGTTTACTTTTAGAGGAGGCGGGAAAATGCCATTAGCCATTCAGGGGCCCATCTTCTTTGCAAATATACTGTAAATAAAACACTTATTTGTGTGTTTAGTTCGTTGTTGCCTCCCCCCCACACCTCTGATGAGCACAGTTGGCTACGTACGGTGTGACAGAAGTTCAACATACATCCACCAGGAAAGTATTCGGTGTTCCGTTGTGAAGTCATCTCTCTCAAGGTGTCATGTATTAACACAGGGGAGTGGATTTCGCACGGTGACGCGAGCATCTGTGCTGCACCTTAAGGAAGCTGGGGACCCAGAGTCGGGAGCGAAGAATAAGCACGGCGCTTGTACGTCGCGGCAGCAAACCCAGCTGGCAGGTGACATGCAGGCACTGACTGCTGCTGCAACCCTGTGTGTGTACGCGCGATGCACAGGAGAACGATAGCATCGTGATTAGTGCGTTGCACTACGTACCTGGCGACCCGAGCTTTATTCCCGCTCATGGCCAACATCAGCGACGATTGCCTGAGCCTTTCCTGGGCCTCCCCTAGGTCAACTCGGCCTCAAATGAGTATCTGGTGCGGTGGAGTAAATATTGCCAATGGGGAGACAAAGGCGGCCGGGCGTGGTGTTGGCCACCCACACCTTCATGTGCCACGCTGACCTTCAAAAGGTGCTTTCTAACAGCACTTGCCCCAACAGTCTGTTAACACTATACGGGGGATCTTTGTTCGTCAACCTTTGTTACCATGGCAATGATGTTTGCAATCCCATAAAAATGTACGGGTTTCCTTTGCCTTATATGCGGGTTCAAGTTTGTGCGATTTAGCATAAATGCGGCGAACCCATTTATACTCAAAATTAGCTATGTGCGGTTTGAATTCACTCTATATTCAGACGTAGGGCAACATTGTGTGTGTACCGTGAGTGCTATTCGGCAGGTATCTGTGGTCTCACTTTGAGAGCCCCTTTTTTTGGAATTTATTTCATTGCATAGAGCGAGGGAAACCTGTACTTTTAGTTATGGCCAAGTTGACCAGGAGGCTCCAGCATAGGTTCGATTTACAATTGCCAGTGCTGTTGAACATGATCTGGAATTGAACAGGGATATTTTTAACGGAGTGCACCAACCACTCGCTGCTCATCCGCAATGTCTGTGTGTAGTGCTGGAGAGTGATGCATTACTGTTTCAATAACATCAGCCAAAAGGTAGGTGGTACTGGTAATGGTGTATTTACTCAATTAGCAATTTGTAACGAGATAACCATTACTTACCGTCTTGTTTTATTGTTACATTTTTTTTAGACTTTAACGTTGTTGACCTGTATTTTGTTGTATAACAATAATAATTTAGATGTATTTGCATCATAACATTATACGCATCTCTATACACTGTGCAATAACAGCTATTTCAGCAAACAATGCTGATGAAACATGCAATTTTTTTTTACTTTCCAAAGTGACCTGACACACGATGCCATGCGACTCGTTGTAAAGCCTCAAGCGCTTAATAATCAGACAGATCACTTTGCGAGTCAGTTTAACACGTCGGCTTTCGCGACCAATATCCATAACAAAATTATTTTTTTGGGTTAGATCGCGGAAATATAAATGTCTCGTTAACCCGACACCACCCAACAGAGCCAATGAGTAAGATCTTGTCACAAACATGACAAACCTTACTTCAGCAAACCGGTGTGTTGGAGAGTGTGATCCCCCCCCCCAACACCATGTACACATGTAGCATCTCCCCACTGTGCTGCCAACGAGTGAGTGGGTGGGTGGGTGGGTGAGTGAGTGGGTGGGTGGATGAGTGAGTGAGTGGGTGAGTGAGAGAGTGAGTGGGTGGGTGGGTGGATGAGTGGGTGGGTGGATGAGTGGGTGGGTGAGAGTGGGTGGGTGGGTGAGTGGGTGGGTGGGTGGGTGAGTGAGTGGGTGGGTGGGTGAGTGGGTGAGTGAGTGGGTGGGTGGGTGAGTGAGTGAGAGAGTGGGTGGGTGAGTGAGTGAGTGAGCGCGCGAGCGCAAGCTGCTCGTACCAGCACGCGTGGCGCCGGTGGTCGCTCCCCGGCCTCCCTGCGCACGATGACGTGGCGAGGGTTTGGCGATGGTGCCACTGTGCTGGAATTGTCGGTCGGCTCCATTGAAGTCAAACGTGGCTGCGTCACGGAAATCCAACAGGTGACAATACAACAGCAGGAAATCATGTTCGCATCCCGATCCGCGATATATTTTTTACTCATTCCTTTCATTGTACCTCCTGTGCTCAGAAGACAAATCAGCTCATCTGGAATACAAAGATCTGCTAGATTTGAGGCTTTTTTGACTGCAGGAATCCATACTCTTTGGTTCTTTCGGTAAAGTCACGTAGGTATAAAATAAAATAAATCACGACGTTTCGGGTGCAACACAAGCGTTTGTCATCAGGTGGGAAAGCATGGTCTGCTACATGACTTTACCGAAAGAACCAAAGAGTAAAGATCTGCTAATTGAGTAATTGCAGCAGCAGCGGCAGAACCCCTGAATGTAATTTGCTATTGACAGAACATGCCAAAACTCTCATTTACACAAAACAATAATTACGCATAGAAACGCACGCAAACATGCAAGCAATAATTTCGACCAATTTGTTTACATACGGGTTTAAAAATCACAGTAACGTTATGCTGTGTTACACATTTGACAGTAAAAGATTGAAAATATACGTGGCAATCTAGTTTATTTAAGAACCACATCCAAATAGGATTCGAAAAAACACATGGAAACCTCTCCTAATATATACAGATGACAACAAAAATACATTCAGGATGGACAGAACAACAATACAAAAGGGCATTGTTGTCAACTCAATCCAAATCGTAAAGTAAACAAAAATTCAACAAACTTGATTTGAAGCTTTCGTGACTGCAGGAATACACTCTTTGGTTCTTTCGGTAAAGTCACGTAGACGGTCGCTTGCTGTTGCGATCGACACGTCGTGATCTATTATTTTTTCTACCTACGTGACTTTACCGAAAGAACCAAAGAGTATAAAAATTCAACAGTTATTATGAGAGCGCGATAATGTAAAAACATTGACATGTTATTACCGATTTGTTTTTGTCCTTTTTTGGTGTGTGTAGGGAAGCGAGTTATCATCGTGGTTAGGGTTAAAAAGCCAATCTTGGGAAATCTCTCTAAACTGCCTCATTCCATCAGCCCATAACGGTAAACAGGAAGCTGCAGTTTCCCTGTGGCAGGAAATGTCAGCCCTTACCATCGCACTGGGAACACAGCTGAACTTCAACGACCGTAAAAAGAGATTTGTAGCCGAAAAGCTCCCTCAACTGGAGCTTTTCGTTAATTACTTAGACTGAACTTTAACCTAAGCATTAAAATGCAAATAACCAAGTTGAATTTTATAATTATCGCATTTCTATGAGTAGGCTTGTAACAGGCTGCTCAACCCCTGCAAGTCTATTCAGTCCATCCTTCTCTTCATGTCAATAAAAAATACAATAGTGGCGATACAATGAACAAAAGTGGTTGTCCATTGGAAAGAATGACTCCAAGCATAGAAATGTGGAATTGTCATCCAATGGTAAATACTACCAGTGGAGATGAGCAATGCTCAAATGACCATGGAAACATTATTGGCTATGAACTCTTGCAATAACAATAAATTAGTGTTATCATCTATTGCTATGCATTAGAATATATCCACGATATTACACCGGTTAAATCATGCATAAACACAACATTTGTGCGTCATGGATTTTGGTCTAGACTTTTGCCCTCCAATGATACGGACGACACAAAATGAAGTATCTGTGCAGATATTCTTTGGTTCTTTCGGTAAAGTCACGTAGATAGAATAAAATTTTGAATAAAGTGAATACAAAAAAAACACAACGTTTCGATCGCAAGACAAGCGGTCGTCATCAGGAAAAGGGGGTTAGCCTCTAAAGGCAAACTGTTTACAAAGGTTTAAAATGGGTGTAGCCCAAGTGTCAGCAGCATGGGCGGGGCAGCTAATGTTAATGTAAGTGATGTCCCATCACTTACATTATGATGGCATCACTCACATTAACATTAGCTGCCCCGCTTGCGTTGCGATCGAAACGTTTTTATTTGTATTCACTTCTATCTTCGTGACTTTACCGAAAGAACCAAAGAATACGAATCCCTGCATTCACGAAAGTTGCAAGTAAACATTTTTCTGTGCCGATATATGCAATAAAAAATATACAAGGTTTATGTAGAGTAGGTGGACGATATAAATTATGCTTCAGACATACAGCATTTCATCCAAATGGGATTTATTTTAGAGATAAATTGTTAACTTGCAATGTGATTTGAGCAATTGCACCGACCAATTTTCAAGTGTTATTTTTAGCCCTCTACATCATTAATTATGGAACATTATAATTTAACATCAGCAATGTATGGTTTGACAGAACGTTTTATTGTGCTCGTTAATATTAACAATTCCCCATATAAGACATTAAATGTACAAAACGTTCACTACATTTTTTTTTCAGCAAGGGAAGACTAAAATGCCACCTGTGTAACTTGATTGGAATTCATTACTGTTCATGGGCTAGTTTTGTATATGTGGGTCCAGTAAAGGCAGGGAGCATGGATTTATTGTACAGCAATACATTTTGCACTTCCCTCTGCTGCCCATAACGTAGCCCCACAGCCTTCAACATCTGTTCTGCATGGTGGTCAACCATCCAAGCATGGATCCAGGCTCAACCCAAACTTAGCTTGTGACATCTGACTAGATCGAGCACATTCTAGGTAATTTGGTCAAATTATTTATACATTTACATTCGTTTAAACTATTTGATTCATATTTGATCTCGGTTTCTCAACCGCAATGCCATTCACGTACGGACACTTATACAGAAACCATCGTATCTCCTGAAGAAATCCATCAAGACTTTGTTCCTGCTAACCTCTGATTTATTTCCTTTTGGCTGATTCTGGAGCAAAATAATGCCGACACTCTCATCGCTCAGTCGGTATCTGCATGAAAAACTAAAAGGTATTTTCTGTTGCATTAAATGGATTTTTATAAAGACTCTCAATGGCCACAAGTGTTGAAGAAATGTATAATTTATTTTACGATTTTCACAATTCTGCATACAAGTACTATGCTCATATGTGCTTCCTTCCTAATTTAATATCACCATATGTTATCCTGTTTCCAGCATCTAGATATGCCAATGAAGTTTGGTATGCCATAAAGCCAAGTTTTTTTGATTATGGAATGCTGTGGTGTTTGCCAGTTATTGTGTGGTATTTTTCCAGAAGCCTATAGAAGGAACCACTCTTGGCACCTTTCAGCTGGCCATGCTAAATGGCCATGAGGCATTATATAGCGTAATTTCATACACAATCAATTTCAGCATACATATGTGAAAGCAATGCAATCTTATTGCTGTAATAATAAACAAAAAACACTCCGATAACTTATGCATTGTCCTTAAAACAGCTGGTGTGGACCAATCAGTTTCAAGGACAATGCATAAATGATCAGAGTGTTGTTTTTTTTTTTATTCTGATTGCAAGTATTGTAGTTAATGTAAACATGATTCCTTGCAAAAGGTTTCAGTTTTCTCGCCAGAAAAAAGGGGAAAAACCCTATTATATTTTGGTACTGGTAAAGGAGGGCCTCATGATGTCTTATTGCTGTAGTTAATCCATCCATGTGCATCACCTTATGGAATCCACACAGCCACACACTTTGCCAAACAGTAAAATTGTACCACTCATTTCATGCATGATATATATTTTAGAGCCAGAAGAGACCATCACCACTATTGTATTTATCTTCCAATCTACACCCTGGGCCTACTTTTTCGCCAAAATTCACTTAGGGAAAAGGCTGGGCAAGCCTGCTGGAGTCTCCCTTATCTCCCCCAGTTGCACTAAGTTGCACTGCATTCAGATTGGCCCAGACACCTGAATTAGTGTCATCCCCTGCACATGGCAATCTGCCTCTTCTGATCGACCACATGCTAAGAGCTCCGCCCAGATCAAGTACAATGGCTGCAGAAGAGACACTCCACCTTCATGCTCTATACATTCCACTTTCTACAGAAACCACTCATTAAGATGTTTATCAGCATCATTACATTAGAGCTTTACGTGGCGCCAAGCATGGGCATTTTTTTCTGCGCTGGCTGCCGCAGGGGAAATGCAGTGTTGGGTTTGAGCAATGTGGCCGTAAAATTATATATATTGTTATGCTACTAAGGCAGGTTTTGTGGTAAAATTTCCTTTGGAAAATTAACCTATTTGGAGAGGGAGTTCGGTGGGAAACAGTTATTAGTTTTCAATGTGCTTTTTGTTGTTGCTGAAATGTAGACCATTTATTCGAGGGTGAAAGGTTCAGCCGTACAATTGTTTCCTTAAGGCACTGCCGATGGAAAGGACTGCACTAGAGGGAGCTCCAAAAAAAAACCGTCACGAGGGTAATTTCACCTAATCTTACACGCTGGCCAGACATCTTGGAAGAGGTGGGAATACCCACACGTTACCCTACCACACGTGACCACCTGCCTATCCACTATGTTCACTCTGGCATTTGACCTGGGTGTAGTGAAGTTGCAGAGCACATTGTGGTAACATAGTTTGGCACTCAAAGGTAAACTGCAAATCCGGTATGAAAATTATTTAAGTTTTGATAGTTAAAAGTGACGTCATATTACCGTTAAAGCAGTAGCATTTTGGTTCCATAAAAACTGCATCAAGTGAAGAATTACGACGCATAGACTTATGAACTGAAGTGATATATTGCACTGCACATGGAGTATAGCTGCCCCTCTTACTGTAATTTGAGTGTTGGCCAATTTCAGGCAATTTGGTACCGGTCAAAGTGGATTTTATTTTAACACTTAAAACAATAATAAAGTGGGTGGGGTACTCATCTGCATTGGTGGAGCTGTGCCAATTAAACCATACTCTTAGGTTTTTTCGGTAAAGTCACGGAGGTAGAAAAATTATTTATAATTATTATTTATTTTAATTTTTCTACCTACGTGACTTTACCGAAAAAAACCTAAGAGTATGAATCCTTGCAGTCACGAAAGCTTCAAATCTAGAACCAATTAAACCAATTGTTGATTTTGCACAAAACGATACCACTTTACAGACCCCAAAGGGATCAAAGACTGGCTTGACCCAGAGACCAGTATATTCAATCCAAATCTTGCACTCGTGAGACCACCGTTCTATCAACTGAGCTATCCTGATAGTATCACAAAGCACAAGGGAGTGCCTTTAAATAATGTGCTACCCATTTAGAGAACTTAAGCACACGCAGTACAAGGGCAAAAATGTGGATTTTCATCTCTTTACACATCACTTTGAAAAGATGCACGATGGATAACAGAAATCATTTTAACTTTGAAGCCACTTGTTTAAAATAGTTATAAAAAGCAGACTAAAAAAATTGTGCAAGCTCAATTTTAATTAGCAAGTATTACCAGCTGTGGATTTTCTCATTGAAAGTGAACAGGTGTTATACTATAGACCAAGATACTCTGGAAGCTCTCACACATGCGCACATAATGTGAAGGTTTTCTTTTTACCAATTGTGCCATGCAATACTCGGCAAAAAACATTCTCTGGATTTTTATAACATGTACCACTTGTCTATTCCACACAGATTTAAGTGCTCAGCATGATGGCTTCAGTTTTTAAATGTCATTGCGTTTTCACATCATGCCCCATGTTGTTCGACATGTCTGAAGTTTGTATTTCCTTAAGAAGCTCCAAAAATGTGGAATAAAACATCGGACATCTTGCCAAGCAACGCGCATAACAATAAAAAAAACACATCGGAGAGCTATATTGCACCATCACAAACAAAAGAGAGTAGTCGCACTATTAAATATATCTTTAACAAGTGATTTCAGTTTTTAAAATACATTAAACCCCCACTGAAAATTTATTATGAGCATTTTTTCAATTATAAACATGCCGCATTGTTCATTATGCTACACTCGCAAGAGTTAGCATGCCAAATGCAGATGTGTTTACATCGGGGAAGTAGGAATTGCAATGCTTGCATATAAACTCTATTAATAACCAATAGCATTAGTTTATAACTGGGGCCCCTCAACACTCCCTGCACATTCCCAGAGGGCACTTCCCTATACAGCGCCCGCCCCTCACTTTACACTGGATTCCCTAAGGACACAGATCACTCACACTTGCAGGCACTTAAATAACTTCAGGCAAAATGGTTTGCGGTCTAGGAATGACGTGGTGTCTCAGCGGTAAATGTAGCTATTTGGAGCGATCCTTTTGAGATGATTGGTCCGATTATTTTGAAATGAGCACATCTAAACTTTAAACGTTAATTGGGACGTGACAATACTGTTATAATACCATGCAAAATATCATTCACATTGGGGTTTTTTTTAACAGATCTGGCCAGGTGGTCCTGTGATTAGTGACAGCGCTTGACACAGTCGGAAAGTTGCAAGCTCAAATCCAGATTGTGGGTCAACTCGGCTCATCATATTTCCAGCGTCAAACAAAAACTCCTCAACTTTGTCAGAACTCAATAGTAGCAATTCTATGGGAAAATATGGCAGTAGAGAACTTACACCACCTGGTGCAGAGCAAACACCAGAGAATTAATGCGAAGCTAAATAAATAACTTTTGGCTTGAAATCATCAAGCGATGTTCAGCAGTGCAGGGATACTGCAAGTCCATTGAGGAGGTCATACCTGTAGATTCAACGGGTTCAAGGGCATGCTGAACGTGCAGTTGAGGGGCCCTTCAGTGGCGATCTGCAGCGGGTAGAGTAGGAAGTCGTCATCATGCTGGTGGGGCACCTTTACGTCCAACCAGCCTGCCTTCACCCAGCTCGGCCCATTGTTGTGGACCTTGGCATGTGCAGGAGGGAGGTGGTGCACAAATGCAAAACGATGTTAAGAAAAAAAACGCCACTTTTTTCAAAATTTCTTGCTGTGGATTTCACACCTGATGACGATTGCTTGTGTTGCAGTCGAAACGTCGTGAGAATTTTACTGTTTGATATTTTTATTATTTTATTATTTTCCTTCTACGTGACTTTACCGAAAGAACCAATAATATGAATCCCTGCAGTCACGAAAGCTTTAAATCAACAGATGTTAAGTCTGTTTAAAAACACGTTCAATCATTTGCCCTTCATTTAAAAATCAGGTGAAAAGCTTATATGAGGAAAAAAGTCTCAATTGCAAGTCCAGCACTTTGCCACTGCATCGTGCAACTTGGATAAACGACGTGAACAATTCCGTTATTTGAACGTGTGTCGTGAAGTGAGAGGGCTCAGAACATAAATACCTCAAATACTTGCTGGAGTGAAGGTCCGATCTCCTCCTGATAAGACATGGGTGCGGCCAATTTCCACTCTGCAGCATAGATGGCTGTTGCATCTGGTATCGACACGCTGCACAAAACACAAGAACATCCTTATACCTGGGTGGGAGAGATGCAACTGATGGTGAACCCTAAACATTATTCACAATCAAATAATAGAAAAACAATTACTGTATTGTTTAGCTAAGGAACATTTTACTTGTTAAATAAACTCGCCCGACAAAGCAAAGTCTAAAGTGAAATCTTTTGAAGTTGATGTATGTATTACATAGAAATCTCTGGCCTAATGGCGTAATTGGATGGCTACGAGTTTAAATTCCAATCAGGAGTTGGCTCGGTCCAATAAACCCTCCCAAGTATGAACACAATATGCATAAAAGGTGCAAATCATTACTGTATTTTGTTTGCCAATTCAATAAAAAAAAGACTTCAGATTATATTTGTAATTTCATAAAGTGTAAGCCACAAGGAAATACATCTGTAAATGTTAAAATATAATAGAGAATAGTTTTCACCCCATTGTCAACCTCCTTCTCTGCATGAAGTCCTTTTACACTGCTATTCATGGGAATTTGTTTGATTATAAGTGCAATATTTTAAAAATTAATCAAAAAAATCTATCAAAATTAAATCAACTAGGAGACTTAACAGGCTTGTTAAATTTTGTTGGATCAATTTTTTGAGAGTAAATGCAGTGAAATAGTTGAGTTGGACTAGGAGTGAGAAATCATGGTAACTTCATGATCTCAGACTTGCAGTTTCTCAGTTTAATATCTCAACCAAGCATACAGCATCCTACGGCCCAATGCCCTCAAATACCCTGTAAAAACAATGAGTGAGCCAAACAATAAGATATAGTGCCCTATATTAAGCCACCAATTTCACTCATAAACAAGCTATTTTTTCCCCATAGCCACCAAATAAACAATGCATATAAGTAACATGTTAAAAGTCAGATAAAAAAAATGTCGTGAATGTAAAGGGGTGATTTATTTAAGGTTGCTTAAGGCTGCTAACTATACTACAACGTGGATTTAAACCTGTAAATAGTTAGATGAAAATAAAAATAATTCACTTTTCCATACGCACTTTTACGAGAAGAACAAGTGTTCTTTTTCGGAAAAGGAGTATTTGTTTAAAATTTATGGAATAACCAGAAATTTCCACACTATTTCATAGTTCAACCGATTGACGCTGAATGAAGGAGTTCCTGACATCCAGTGTCAGTCTTCCGAAGTCAGCTGTCTTTGTAACTCAACGTTTCAAAAGATTTATTTTAGTTGGACATTTGTTTATGATTAGGTCACCACAAATAGCATAACTGCGCATAATAGTTTTTTTTCTATTAACTCACAAAAACACAGGGGCAGCCTAAGAGCTCGAGATTTTATGCACAAACACCCGCTCACGAGGGCACGCGCTTTGTTTTAACAGCTGAGAGTTTTAAGGTGCTCATTTATTGACATTTTTGTGGTTGTGCAATGTGCACTCTCTGTGCCTCCCCCCCCCCTCAGTTGCTGAAGTTTCTGCAAGTGCGGACTTATGACAGCTGTTTCAAATGACATGTATGTTGAACTTCTTTTGCACTGCACATAGCCAACCGTGCGTATCGAAGGTGCGGGTATAAATACTTTATTGCATTTTCAATGCATACATTTATGAAGTTAATTTCTAATAAAAACTAAATTCACCAGCGAATCACCCCAATGAGGGACTTTCTAAAATTAAATCCTCCGATACTTTCCCAGGCAAAAGCCTCAATATTTCAGTTTCGTAGTTTTCAGTGTACACATTTTTTGCAATAAACCTAGGGACAAAAGCTCATTATTTTTCCGAAAGAGCAAACCCACAAACTCACCACCACACCAGTGTGCTGTACTAGTAACGAATTGGCATGTTTTGTTTACGTGACAAACCTTACTAATTGGCTGCGTTGGGTGGTAAGGGGGCTTAACATTTATTTTGACGAGATCTAACCCAAAAACCTCTATTATGGAAAAAAAACACCACCACTCAAGTCACGATGTGGCACGAGCCCAGCACATATTGCTTGGGGAGGGAAGGGGGGGTCCTTGAAGAAACATCGAGTGAGGATGAGACACCTGTGTGTGTGGCCAGGGCCATGTATATAGTTGCGATGTTGCCATGGGAGACAACTCACCCCCGAATGTCAACCTGTGCCAAAACAGCCAGCTCGGCGCGCAGAGCGAGGGGCTGACTCTCCGGGTTGTCTTTGTTGGTGCTGAATGCAAAACAGCAGCAGCAGCAGCCGTAGGTTCAGCTTTGAACAAAACACTTATGCATCTCCAATGTTAAGTTCAGTTTTACACTGTTTTTTCAATATTGTTTTGGTGATCGACTTTATTATTTGGAAATATGTTAAAGTACAAACCTTTTCATGTTGGCATTGAATGTGATGGATGAGCTGTCATAAGCCATGTTTTTGAAATCAAACCGGAGCCCAATCAGAAGCTACATACACACACACAAAGGTGCACCCACAGACAGACACACACACCATTCGTTATGTAAAATAAACTATACTCCAGCTTACACATTGTAATTCCATTGCGTCAGCTGTTTTTGGAGAACACGTGATGTGAAAAAGATATGAAATGAACTCCAGTGGATGCATAGCTGCCTTGCTTACATTCGTTCCAGCTTTCATTGGGTTCCCCAGGTCACAAACAACCAACCTCGTGTTGTTCTCCTCCTTCAGGGTGCAGATTGGGGCGAAGAGATTCTAAAGCAGACAAAACACGATGAGCAAAAGGACAACACAGGAACACAAGGTTAAATGTCAAATCCTATTTCACATTCTTACAACTCTATCCACCTTAGTAATAGGGTTTTACCCTTTCAACTGGTACAAAAACTGACACCTTTATACAAGGCATCATGTTTGCAATAACCACAACACAAGCAGTCAAAATGCAAAGAAAAAGAAACAACTCTGATAATGATATGCACCGTCCTTGAAGTTGATTGGTCTATCCACCTTACTTAGATTTTTTGAGAAGGCATTTGGAATGTTTGGTGTAAATGTAAAAATACAAATGTAAAACCCTTGACTATTTCCAGCTGGGTAGTACAGTAGTGGTTTAAGCACTCCACCCGTAATTGTAACCTGCAAGCTCAAATCATGGTCAAGTTTGACGCAGTACATCCTTCGCCTCGGACTGATAAAGCATTTGCATCTTTCTGGGAACACAACAGTGATAGAGCGTTATGGATAAACCGACCCCAACAGTGGAAATGTTAATTGTCCACCATTCTGAGGGCCACAAACAGACACACACATCTCCTCTTCTCGTTTGAGCACAGGATCAACCCTGAGATACTATAGATAGCAGTATTTTCCGGCGACTGTCATTTCTTCCCATGACCCGCGCAGGTTTATGACTCACGTTCGTGTACTTGCGGTCTTACAAATACGACAAGTGATATAATGAACAAATGACAACCACCACGGCCCCTCCATCATCCCCCACCAGCCAGGACGACGTACCCCATCTCCCGTTCCCAGCCCCTCGCTGCTGCGCGTGCTGCCGATGTAGTCCCCCTCGGGGGGCACGGCGACTTGCAGCTCCGCCTCGTAGGCGCCCTCGCCGTGGTTGGAGCAGTTGAGCGTGAGCGTTAGCGGGCTCGTGTCACCCATGTAGAGCTCCGTGCGCTCCCTGCGACGACACAACAAGGCCGAGGCTGGCACTGTGAGCGCGTCATCCAGAACGCGGCAGTGAACGGCAGCGGGAAGCGGTCGAGGCAACGCATGCCTGCACACTATTTTTACTTTGTTTTACCTTACCAGGTAAGGCCCACTGAGATAGAGAGAGCTCTTATTCAGAAACGACTAGGCGGTCACAAATTGCAGCTCAACGAAGTGGCTTATTGCGAGGAAACGTATAAAAACTAAATACTCTAGACGCACGTTGATTCGAAATGTGGAAGGGAAAACCAGAGAAGCCTGAGAAAAAAGCCATGTGACCATGGGGAGAGAGACATGCAAACTCCAAAAATAAACCAGACGAGGTAATCAACATCTCGCCACCAGACTGTTGCACACAGCAATGCTAGCCAAGCAACTTGCACACGAAGTTGGTGGATCTTTTACGCCAGCCAGCGAAAATCAATTCCATTAGGTTTGTTCAATGGACCGACCAGTAATGCTGGTCGACCCATGTAGCAATCAAATGTTCTACCCTTGCAAGTGAGAGTTCTCTGGGCACACCAATTTCTTTCAATGAAGCTACAACTTTAAAAAATAACTGATTGAACATTCTCAGCAGAATTATACGAAAAAAACACTCATTGAGGCTTCTATTATTACTGATATTATTATAAGGAGGTGAGATAGCAATGCGATTCAAAATGTGAAGACCAAAGAAATTGCCTACTCGTATATAAAATTAGGTTTTGGTATGCACATGGATTTGAGCTATTAGTGATTACAAAAATAGGCTTACAATTGTAAACAATATCACAGCGTCATCAACATTCAAATTAGAGCATATTTCACTACGTGATAACTCCTTGCAAAAGTTCATAAGCGGCAGTATTTACCACGTAAATCAACAGACAAAACATAACATTTACTGTCATACCATGAACAAAAGCATCCTGCAGAAAAAAAGGCTCTTGGTATTTATAGTTCAGCTTTCAGTGGATTCATTATTATTATAATGTGCCTGGTGTACATTTATGGGCCCCTCATGTGTTCCAACTTTGCAGTTGATCAAATTTAAAATTGCAAAATTACGCAAAGGACAGATGTGCACACAAGTTTGTCACTCAATACCCATTTAACCCACTGGGGTGAGTGCATATGAGGATAGATCTGCATTTGCTGTAAGTTGCTCATTAATAACACTTCAGACAGACATTGCACTGCACTACAAATGGCAAGGCAAGACCACATCGGATATGATCAATTCTAGATTTGAAGTTTTCGTGACTGCAATGATTCATACTCTTTGGTTTTTTCGGTAAAGTCACGTAGGTAAATTTTTTAAATAAATTAAATCACGACGTTTCGGAGGCAACACAAGCTTCCGTATTCAGGTGGAACCGTCACATAAAAATTACTGTATCAAGTGAAGAAAGCTCTAAGAGACACGAGATTATATATAATATATAATCTCGGCATGCGAGCTACATGACCCAGCCAACGCAGCCTTGCCTGCCGGAGGAGCTCACCGATGTGATTTTGTCTAGATTTTTCAAAGATATGTGAGCTCCTCACACAATCCAGTCTGGTTAAACCCAGGATGGATCGTAGGCAGGCCAGCCTAAATGTTTCTAACCGGCGAAGATGTTCCATTAGGGGGGTCCACGTTTCGCAAGCGTAGAGAAGGTAGGGAATGACTGTGGCCAAGAAGACCTGAAGCTTCGTGCAGAGCGACAGACCAGGTAGCTCTTCCACACTTCGTTACAAAACCGATGAAAAGATAATGCCGCTCGACTGATTCGGAGTGAGACCTCTGCTGTCAAACCGGAGCCGGTCATGAGCACACTGCCCAGGTATGGGAAACGCTCCACTCTCTCCACAACTGCCCTATCAACAATTGGGAGTTGAGGGGGTGGTTCGTCCGATGGTACAACATACCCAGGCAGGTGCTTAGTTTTGGAGGGGTTGATGGTAAGTCCCCACCTCTTAGTGGCAAGCTCCAGGTTCAGCAGCAGTGCCTTCAACTCCTCCTCTGAGTGAGCAGCAATTACCATATCATCGGCATACATAACATGGTTGAGCAATAGGGAGCCATTCCTTGACCGCACCCGAGCATCGATCAGCCTCCCATTGTATCTGTACCAGATGGAAATTCCTCCGGTACAGCTATTGATTGCTTCACGAACTACGTGGTCGAAATAGATGTTAAATAATGTGGGAGCCAGAAGACATCCCTGTCGCACCCCAAAGTGAACAGGGAATGGTTCCGACTCCCAGCCACAGAGTTTTACCTGGGCACGCTCACCATCATCAAGGTCCTTAATGATCGTGAGCAGCGGGTCAGGGACTCCAAAAGCATGAAGAACAACCCAGAGCCCAGGCCTACTGATGGTATCATAAGCCTTGACCAGGTCAACAAAGCAGAAATGTAGGTCTTAATGCAAACACACACACGTGTGCACACACAGTCCTATGTTGTTTCTGGCTAACAAAGGATCGGTGAAAGAACGGAGTAGGAAGTTTAGGCGTCTGCTCCTCCCACATTATGTACAGGATTAGCAGAGAAGCTGTGGTACTGAATTACGTTCATTCTTTCCCAGCAACCAATATCTATGTTAGGCAATAGCTGCAGGCCAAGTATAACATTTCAGACGCTGTCTCCCCGACAGACCTGGTTCTTCACCTGAGGACGGCTGCTTGCGTTGTGGCCGAAACGTCGTGAGAATTATTATAGTATGTTTTATTTTTATTATATTATTACTTCCCTTCTACGTGACTTTACCGAAAGAACCAAGAAGATGAATCCCTGCAGTCACGAAAGCTTTAAATCGAAAAGTATAGCAGAGTTTAATTCAATGGTACTGCACAGCAAACTCCAAATAGAACATTTTTAGAAATACATGCACTCATATCAAATGGCAATTCCTGCATCGTCATTAAAATCAGTCTAATTATATTGGATGATTATTTCTCATGTGGAATTCCTGTGAGAATCCCATTTAATTAAATGGATTTAAACATGGGAATCGCCCAAAGAAAAAGGAATCATCTATGGTGCAATCATGGCATTTGGATCATATCCCAGATGGAATTTCCCAGCACGACCGCTGGCGGTGATGTGCCTTTATTTATGCAAGCACGCTGTGCCGCGCGAGTGTTACGCACAGATATCCAGCGAGCTGAAGGTCTGGCATGCAGATGTTGTCTTCTCCACAGTCCAGCAAAATGTACGCCTGTAGAAGTACAATGGGGACAGTTCAAATGGAAAAGATTTAAATACTTAACGAGAAGGTCCACATCTGTGAAATATAATATTGCTTTCCTCCCCACCCCCAGGGAAATTTTAATTATAACATTTCCCTCCATTGAAGCTGAAATAACATGGAACTCTATGTAACTTTTTTGTTCTTTGCTGAAGCAGGTAAAAGGCAGTACACGCAGGCACACCAGTATATGTTTACAATGTATAATAATACAAATATTTTTTTTTTAAACTGCAAATAATTTTTAAGTGAGACATTAGTGCTCAGCATATGTCATGCCTGAACTCAGCATATGTTAGGCCTACTCTTCAAAATGTCACAATAGCTTTCTGGTTCATAATGCCTAAGAGAATCAGTGGCTGTGGAAATTGAACTGTTGACCCAGCATGCATTGGCTATGGGGGAAGTGTCGACTCCCATAGCCTTAAAGATGTAATCAAGTTTGCAACCATAACGAGTTAACCCGACTATAAAGTTGCAGGGGAATGCGAAAGCTTCTTGACAAAATCTTAACTTTGGAGCTTTCGTGACTGCAGGAATTATTCTTTGGTTCTTTCGGTAAAGTCACGTATGATTTATTATTTTTCTTTATACGTGACTTTACCGAAAGAACCAAAGAATAACTTCTTGACAAAAACAATGGTAGAATTATTAAATGTACATTGTTTGTGAGCGGTATATAATTGACACACTCCAATGTATTACACATATACAATAACATTAAAAGTACCAAATGGTAAAATGAAACGTTTGTTTTTGTAGTCGTTGACGACGCGAAGGACACCATCTGTCTCGGTATCACAGATGGGTCAAACGTTTAGGCATTCGACCCAGAGCTGCCCTGACAGCAGCACCCATGTCTTGCCTTGCAGCACAGCCCTCGTGCCACCATTCTCCCCCCCCTCCCCCCGTTGTCCTCACCCCTCCACTTAGAGTCACTTTCCCACACCTCCATGACCCTCTGATTATTTACCAAATGCATTCCCCCAGACCTACGAGTGTCCGCATCTCCACAGCCTTGCTGGTGGTTATATTACACAATTGCCCGCGATATGGGCAACACAACAAAGGTTCTTAAAGTTTCTATGGCTGCCAATGCAAGTGAATATTTCACAAAGCCACATGACCAGTTTTCTCTGCCGTCAGGAATTTAACTGCATCAAGTTTGATAGAGCGGACTTTGTTCGCTTCTGAATGTCACTGGCAATGCAGGGGGATTGTGTCCCATGGAATTTGTTGTTGGAAAGCATGATTCGTGAAGTATAAAGCATGAAGATCATCAATGTCGCTGGAAAAGTCTTTACAATTCACATGGCCATTGTCTACATTCATGAGCCCGAGTTGGCCAATTTGTTTCATGGTCACGAGGGGGCTTCCATAATACCATAAATATGTAAGACACCAGCAGAACACTGTTGTACTGTATCGATTTAAAGCTTTCGTGACTGCAGGGATTCATCTTCTTGGTTCTTTCGGTAAAGTCACGTAGAAGGGAAATAATAAAATAATTAAAATAAGACATAATAAAATACAATTTTCATGACGTTTCGGCCACAACGCAAGCAGCTGTCCTCAGGTGAAGAACAGGGCTGTCATTCAGATGCTGTCTTTCCGACAGACCTGTTCTTCACCTGAGGACGGCTGCTTGCGTTGTGGCCAAAACGTCGTGAAAATTGTATTTTATTATGTTTTATTTTAATTATTTTATTATTTCCCTTCTACGTGACTTTACCGAAAAAACCAAGAAGATGTTGTACTGTACTTCGGAAGTCATGGATATGAATATTCAGAAGTCATGGATATGAATATTAATTTTGAAATGTAACCCTCAGTAACTTTACAAGAAATGTACCGTTAGTAATTATTAATCGTTGGAATTATTGCATTTTTATTACAGGGCAAACTTGTGAATAAAGTTACCAATGTACATGGAGCATGTCATTTTCAAATGTTTGTTGAAGTTTTTACTATTTATGGTCGAGGTTATGGAAGATAATTTTGACAAAATAAGGTTATGCTTTATAAGTAGAAACCTATTTCAAAGTTATTAAAATAGCAATCATAACCTGTTTCCAGAGTAAGATATGGAAGTACAGAGACCTTGTACAACCCTAACAATTTTACCAGATCCATGAAATACACTTGATCATTGAACCAAACAATCAACGTATACAGTGCATCAGTTCCAATTCATGTTTTGAAGTATCAATGGTCATTTCACAACACCGGTAAGCATTTGTCTATGGGGTACCTGCTTCTGGATGTGGTCTGCCTGGTAGTGGTTAAGAATTGGCACCACAGCGCTGTGATTTGAGTTGTACTCTTCATCCAGGCTGTAGTTCAGAGACACCACGATGGGAGACAGCTTGTCCCGGAATTCACTTTCATCCTATAAAGGAGGCACACAGATAGATGAACACGTACCATGCGGCTGTAACAAAGCATGTTGACTGCAGAGGAAGCTTGTGAATAACCGTGTACATGGAACATTGTATAATTTGCATGATAACGTGGTCTGGAAGCACCCGAGCTGTAAGTCCAGCATTTCTGATCTCGGATTAGTAGAGTTCCCCCTAAAGTCAACACGTTGGCCTAGACCAGCGGTCGGGAACCTATGGCTCGCGAGCCATATATGGCTCTTCCAGTGACGGCATATGGCTCCCAGACAATTTTGAGTTGAAAAAAAAAATCAGTTTGGAACCGATTTAAAAATACTTAAATAAATTTCACGGGTCACGCCTGCATGAAGCTCAACCTCACCACGTATGAACCAGACTACAAGGCCATCAGCAAAACCATGCAGCACCAGAAGTCGCATTAAAAGTAAGACATTTAATTTATTATACGTTAAAAATACTATATGGCTCTCAATGAAATATATTTAGAAATATTTGGCTTTTATGGCTCTCCCAGTCAAAAAGGTTCCCGACCCCTGGCCTAGACAATCGTTTGTGGGACTCTGAGATGTTTTGTGTTATAGTGCTGCACAAAGGTGCATGACTTAACTGGAGGATAACTCCTCTTGATGCACACCAATGTGGGGGGGATCTTTAAATCCGAATTAGAATCTTTATTTAGACTGGAGGAATCCCATGAGCTATGAAGCTCTATTTTACAGATGCCCAAGTCGGGGCGGGTCAGCAAGTTAGAATTCATTATTTCGATTTAAAGCTTTCATGACTGCAGGGATTCATATTCTTGGTTCTTTCAGTAGCGTCACGTAGAAGGGAAATAATAAAAATAAAACATAATAAAATTCTCATTAGGACGCTGTCATTCCGACAGCTCTGTTCTTCACACGAGGACGGCTGCTTGCGTTGTGGCCGAAACGTCGTGAGAATTTTATTATGTTTTATTTTTATTATTTCCCTTTTACGTGACTTTACTGAAAGAACCAAGAATATGCGGATCATAACATCAGTGGATGCTTTATTCCACTGATCCACGTAAAAGAAGCCTGATAAACATTGATAAACGGGACCCGTTGTCTGTTAGAAACCCCTTACCTATTGAAATCGTGTGGATTAATAAAAGAAAATGCGGATTTTATATCAGTAAATGCCAGAAAAATTGACCAAACAAGACTCGTGGATAAAAGTATGAATTTGCCGAGACTACTCTCATCTGCAAAAAGAATTGTGCAGATAATAAGCTGGAACGCTGCATCGCTATAGCACTGCCTTGTTGATAAAATGTTGCTTAACATACTACTTTGAGGAGCCCATATTTTAGCTGTGATTTCCGGAGGATTTTATGACAGTCTGCAGCAAAGTATTGCTCACTGTTTAGTGTAAAGTACAGGACTCCCATGATGACCTAATGCCTTCCCGGAATGCATTTGGCTGAAAGATTGAGATGTATTAGTCAAAGAGTAAAACTAAACGTTTTACGTAAATAGTATATACAAACAACACGCGTATTAAAATAGGCTGGTTTTCCACAACAGATGAGCCTTCCTTTCTTGTTGATGGACAGACTTAAAAAAAACCCACTCTCAACCTAAATTAAAGACAATTAAATCCCTAGCTGCATCAAAAATAACACTGGAGCCACAGACAAGACAGCTGAGAGGGTTGCCACAGCGGGTATATTTACGCACGTGCAACTCAAGCCCACATAGGGCCCCCTTCACACTCAGAGCAACGCCCTCTCCTACAGCGGGGAAGGGCAAAATTAAGCCATGCCATTTGGAATCCCAGCAGATTATCTGCAAGCGTGCGTGGAAAACGGTGCCAAAACGTGCTGGCAAGAGAGCTAAGGGGTCGGGTGCGTGGATGTTTGAATGACTTTGTCGGTTCCTATGCTTTAGCACAGAGCACTGTGAAGACCCCTGGCCCGTGCCAAAAAAAACAGTGACACCATGCAAGGCACACAACATGCATAGCACGGCGTGCTGCAAGAAGCACGCCACGCTTTGCTTCAGCTTCACAGCAGATCTTCCTCCGCTGTGAGTCCGTCTGTACAAACTGGAGCTGTGGCTTATTTCAGAACAACCTATAACCAGTGTAATTCCACTGACGCTTTTAAACACCAATTGATTCTTAAAGTCAGTTTTGTCGTACCGTTAAAAGCACACACTCTGCGTGTCCTTTACACATTTTTGCCGGAGCAATCCGATGAGCTATGCAGCTCTTTTTCACAGATGGCCAGTAGTGATGTATGTTTTACAGATATGCACACATACAATCTGCTCACGCATAAATGGGCGGTGGTGACATGGCCGAGTGGTAGCAAGTTCGCTGCTTGTTGCATTAAACCTAATAGGACCCCTCCTGAAAAAAGTGTTTGCATCACTATTTGTAAACGCATCCTTTCGTTTTGTTAAAACGTTGGTCCCCTCTTCCACTCTGACCACGCAAGGTGGATCTGGTGAGGATGTAGACCATTAGTGCAAGCATCCGCTTCATTACAGTATGCAATTCACTGCTGTGAAGACAAAGAGGGCATCAGGCAAAATGTTCTACTTCCCTGACTGAATGTTGAAATAATGTCCTTAAATACGAGTTACAGATGCGACCACAACACCCTGGTGATCACGTTGCATCTTTTTTATTTATTACAATATATCTAAATATATATTAAATTACAGAAATGATAAGTCGGTCAAAAATATTACTTTTCACTCCGTTATAATTTCTACTTTGCCAATTGCAGAAGGCGTGGTACATGAGCAGTGGAGTGTACTGCTGCACCCTCTGCTACCAACACATAACCCGCCTCCTTCCCCAACAGCACACCTCAAATGAGTAAATCATTCTATTTTTCAAAGTCATTCTCATTTCTTCCCCATTTTCTGGGACCTGGAAAATATATCTTTATATTAGATGAAAAGGTTTACTCTAATAATATTGAAAAATTGCCTTCATCATTGCATTCCAGGCTAATCTACATTTACTTATAATGAGTGTGGTCTCACAAGCTTTCAAATTGAGTGAACATATCTTTGGAAACGTAAATGATCTCAAAAACAGTGACAGAACTGCTTAATAAGTTGACACTATTATAGTAGGGCCTCAGCCAAACCATAATGTCCCTCTACATTTAGAAACATGCGTTTAGAATATTTGGCTGCTATAAATTTCCACATAAGTCACTTCGGTTAGCTATCATTTGTGGCCAGGTATCTTCTGAAAAGAGGGATATAGCTCAGTCGGCCTTAACTGAGAAAATTAAAAAAAATTGTTTAGTTTTAGTTTATAATGTGAGGCCATGCAAAACCAGACTTCCTTTATCAGGGAAATATGGAGTCATGTGTGAAAATGTCTTGTTAAAACATGACTCCACATTTCAATTTACTTGACCTCTAGCTGCTTATTGCAAAGTTTATTTACACGCGCTTTGATTCTGAAGAGACCCACGTTTAGGCACAGGCAAAGCAGCCAGTAAGGAGGCAGCAAAACGTGGCATTTATTTAGCCGAGGGCACCGAGGGAATTAACCTTTCCTCTGAATATTCTCAAAATACTTTGTCAGAAATAACCATGGCACCGAATAAAGGATACATTTTTTAAAAATAAAAAAACAATTGACTAATTGCAATACATCTTCATCTTTTGTGGTTATAATGTACACAGTGAAGCCCATTTTGCCCAATATCCATCTTTTCCATTCTTATCATTCTATTACAAGCTGATGAAATAGAAAAAAAACTCTCTCAAGCAGAGCTTCCAAATCTCCAGTCTTTATAAACTATGGCAACCCAGCATTAACTTTTCACCAATCCATTGGATAAATGGTATACAAGTAGACAACGTTTTTATCTACATGTGAACAGAGAACAAAGCTTCATGCAAAAAGCTGGTCTAATGTGGGGAAAGTGAGGACCAACGCTGGCACTAAAAAAGGGGATGCTCAGGTGGACCCTGCACTACCAAATATCCCTGTGGCCCATCCAAGTTCACTCTCCTTAGATGTGAATCACTGTCACGATTGTCCGCTATACAACAGCTCTACCGAACGCCCTATCCCCCCCCCATCCAAGAAGAATTGGAACTGGGCCCTGGTAAGGACCTTGAAAAGTACAAGCGCCCCTCCAGTTGCGGTACATAATCTGGTGGGAATGACGGCATACCCACCCTGAGATACGCTGTGAGGGTTGAGCACTGCTCCTGAAGTCCCCGGCCCATCTGCAGACGCGTCCTGAAGCGCGGGGACTTGGAGTCCTGGAAGAGCACTCGACGGATGGCGCCTTTCTCCTTCAACTTGTCCAGCAGCACCTCCACCTCCATGCCTGCGACCACAGACAGGTGTGGACACAGATCATTAGACACGGCACGACCGGCGGATGGATAGCTGCCTAGCCCGATGGGTCAACTGAACCTGGATTCAATTGACAAATTCACGTGCTTTCGGGCAAGAAATCCAAAAATGAACTTGTCTGCTGTGAAGTAGATACTCTGGTAAGAAACCAGTCTCCATTGGAAAACTACTCTGGACTTTGCGCAAAGTGGCACACATTTTATTGTAGAAAGATGGTGGAATGCGTGGACTTTCAACTTGGGGTTAGAACTCATTAATCTCCTAATTGAGAGTGGACTGATCTGCCACAACAACAACCAGCCATATATATTGTATATATGTAGAACTTCTTTCGCACCGCATGTAGCCAACCATGCTAAATCGGAGGAAGCGAATATTAATGTTTTTGCATTATTATAATGAGGCTTTATTAATCCAACAAAAAATCTTTCTTCACAGGGTTCTGCATTGGAAGATTTATATATGAAAGGAAGTAGTACAACCATTACCAAAAATATCACTAATGTTTACGGCATATTTTTAATAGTAAGACATTTGGATTCTGAGTCGAGTACAAATTCCTAATTTTAACATTTCAGGAGTGTTTACAATAGAGACAATCGGTGTACAGTGTATTCTCGTTCATTGTTTGTTCTGGCAAAATGGCAACTTTAATAAAAGGGAATTCCCGTAACCTTCAAATGCCATTATGATCAAACATGGTATAAACACGTGTATTGATGTTAATTTAAATCTATTAGCGTTTAACCTGACTGTTGTCAGCTCTAATAAAATAAATCAAGATATGAAATGATGTCGCTTAAACATAATCATGAAATCACACATTATCATTCATCTTCCCTCAATCCAAGTTACGTGAAAGTACAGTTAATGTATTGGCATATAACCATGTGAAAACACCTTTGAGCATGCACAGACTTGCATAAAAAATGCATTCACGGTGAAACCCCCCCAAAAATCTTGATTTATTAAAATACAAATATTGAATGCTTATCATGCAATTACATTAAGACATACAAGTTATATCTTCTGCTTTACTCCCCCCCCCCTAATTTTTTTTTACTATATTAACCACTGTGTATTTTGAGGGCAAATATACCCCTTTTACTTAATGGCCTTCTGGCGAAGTGCTGCAAAAGCAACATCTGTTAAGGCTGCCCATGGCACATGAGGTGACGTGCCCAGGGCCACGCCGAGTCACCACCAGCAGCACTGCCAAACGCTTACAATGAAACACCACACGGGAGCTGATTTAAAGAAATCTAGTGCAGGAATAGGACAGGTTCCGATGCCATGTCACGGATACGGTTCACGGCCAGCAATCGCATAATGGTCACAGAGATCATGACACTGTACACTAACTGCTTTACGCACACGTGCTCCTTCCTGAATCTATTGCATGCACACCAGCGTTATTTTTGGCCAGAGAAAAGTAACGTTTCATCTTACTAATGGCAGAACGGCAGCAATGAAGCCAGGCATAGGGCCGAAAATCAGTGCCTTCATCATCATTACCACCATTGGATGTGTTTCTTTATTTAACACACTTCCAATGAGTCTCCAGGGAATGGGTTATTCAAGGCAAATTTGGTACGCAATTCGGGAAATTTAGCCAACATTACACCTAGTTAGTATTTTAAACGCCATAGCGAATTAAAATGTTAAAAGTTGCCATCAACTTCATATATATGTCGTTAATGACTTTAAAGGAGCATGAATTGATAGCTTGTCAGATTTTTTTTTTTGGCAAAGACAGTGGTTAATATCTACTACATATATCCATTAAGAAAGTGTGCAGTGCAAAGCTAATTTTAATGGAGTTATAGTTCAAAATGTATTTACGTAGAACTTATGTTGCGCCATACGCAGCCAGCCGTGCTAATCAGAGGTTAGCACTGTTGGCATCGGAAAATATTCTAGTGATGTATTATTTCAGTACATGAAAACTAAAGTCTTGTCAACATCCGTTGTCATGTCAACACGCCACACTTCTTAGATCCCTGCTTTGGACTGAGCTGACCAAGAACGGGAACTCGTATTCATTGCAATAACTAGTCCCAAGCATGTCCATGGTCAATGCATAACCAGCATTGCTGAAAGCATTTCCACTGCAGCGATTTAACATTACTGCTAAATGCTTGGTTTGATGAATATTGACACACACTGCCCCTTCAATATGTACCCCATCCCTCTTAAGCAAATCGCACTGGTACCATAATCCCTCTCAGTTCCACGATAATTGTGGTGCCATAGCGTGTTGATCAATTCGTTGGTGGGCTTAGACGGCTTTGATGAGGAGGAGGAGTAGGTGGTGGTTGAGGGAGATGGAATGGTGTGCAGATAAAAAAGTATAGTGCAACAAAGCATACTTTTGCCGACTGTGTGACATAAATCACTGTGACAAGCAGTGGTAGATATTCAAAATGTCCGCTATTGGCTGCTTAAGTTGCCGGATGCAATGGTTAAGTGTATTAAATAACATACAGAACTGTTTCTTAACGTCGGTAATTTCTCATTCCTTGGAAAAAGCCAATTACATTCCCGGCTAATATATGTAAATAAACGGGCACATTCGCCGTTAGCGCACAGCAGATAAAAGAGCTAGACCGCATGCCGCAAAAGCCAGACGTAAAAACAGGAAAAAATATCAATGTTCTAGTCTAAGATTCATGTTTTTTCTCAACGACATGCATCGTCTACAGAGGCAACTTTCAGAGCCTCGGAGGAACTAGAAAAAAAAGGCACGATTTGCTTCACCAAAAGTCAAATTCAATGGCTCTTGCACACAACCACAGCGAGTTACAAGGTTTAGTTTCATTCTTGTAAAATTCAAAAATATGAAACAAAGACTTGTTCTGAATGCTACATCAGCTAATATGAGTATATGTGTATCAATAACATTTTCCAAATTTATTCCAACTGTGCCATTGGCGTCACGGGACGAAGAAACCATTCGGGAAAATATTGCAGAACAGTGCACCCCATGTGTCTGAGCGGCCCGCAAAAGAGATTTGTTACAGCACTTGTCTAAAAAAAAATCCTTCAAGTGGGCTTTTCATCCCTCATACAGTTGGGACAGTACTTTCTCATACACTCTGCCAATTGACTGTCACATGATCAAATAGATAAAAAAAACATTCCCAGAGCTAGAATTGGTTTCAAAATATCATGCAAAAACAAATGTAATTGTTTCAGTTTTTTTGTGCCTTAATTGGTGACCAATCTGTGTCCAGCAACAACTAGCTACACTTGGGAACCTGCTTTAATGAGGTGGTGGCTGCCTGTATTCGAACACAGGATTTCATCAGTGGCAGCTCAACGTTCTGAAGCTCCGAGTCACTTGGCCACTTCGGCAAACATATGTTTTAAGATTCACAGCGGACACATTCATCTTTTTTGTCAACACAGTAAATCCTCATCAAATGTTCACTGTACCCTCGGCCTCATCGATTTGAGATCTTCGGAGAAAACTAAATCACGTTATATTGTCACTTATTGGTCAGTGTTTTTACAAAAAAAAAAACTAAATCTGCATTGATGAAGCAACTGTCAAAGACCTGTTACAATGTTTAAACATCTTTGACATGTGCACAGCTTTGTTTCTGAGTTTTGACTAAGAAAATAGCAACAAACACCCATACACGGTTACAATTAGTCCACGCCAGCCACCTGTCACTCGTGCTTGCATCTGTATTTATCCAAACTACGCCACTTTTAAAACCAAAATCAAATCTCTGAGCCTTAGTCTAACAACTGCTTTCATTCAGTGAGATGTCTTCGCAGCCTGAATGCTTAATTTTTTAAAAATATTTATTGCCATACACCACCATCAATTTATCAACCGTCAATTTTTTAAAGTCTACAGAATAGTCAAAATACTGCTAATTCTAGAAGAGACCACTTTCTGTAATAATTTCGAGTATGCAAATGTTTTCTATAAATATCTTGTTTTTCATCGAATATGAGAACTGGACTCTTTAAAACAACACCATAACTTTGAATTTTGGACGATTATTTGTCCATGATAGTATACTGTACTTAAAAACACATCAAGACGAATCATCCGTAAGAGGTTTTGGGTTAGATCGCGTAAATATATAAATGTGTCGTTAAAACCCGCCACCACCCGACACAGCCAACTAGTAAGGGTTGTCACGTAAACAGAACATGCCAATTACACGTTAATAACATTTGTCCAGCAAACAGACATCTCCCTTCTGGGATTTGTATGTGGGGTCAAGCGGCTAAAGGTCAATTGCCCAGCACACAAACAGCAGCTCTGGTTTAGTTGTGAAGCAGATAGGTCAAAGGTAATAAGCCAGACAAAGTCTACAACACGATAACAATTTGGTAGAAAGCAGAACAGAACGTGCTTGAACTAAAGCATAGACATTTAGATTACGTGGCTACTACAAATGTCCACGTCAGAAGCCACTTCGTTGAACTATCATGTGTGGCCAGGTCGCTTCTGAAAGATAAGCCAATAGTTCAGTGGGCTTTACCTTAGAGAAATAAAAAAATAGTAAAGTTTTATTTATTGACAGATTTGCTTACCTTTCCATTACACTCCTGTCGTGTTTTTGTATTGTTTGTGGTTCTAACTGTATGACCTGCCCCTACGGGACATCTGTGAAAAAATAGCTTAATAGCTCATCGGATTCCTCCAGGATAAATAAAGATTCTGATTGTATTAAAAGCATGTCTACAACAATACATAGCACATCAGTGTCTGCAGAATGCTGGTTTGTAGGATGCCGTGATGGCTGCCTATTTCGAGGGTCCAACGATGTTTAAGTGAGGTGGGGGGGGGTAAGGCTGTTGACCTGAGGTTGTATAAAGAAGTGGGTTGTGGTGTTCATGTCAGTAATGTTAAGGGGAAGAGGTTGTGAGGAAGAGGACCGTTTTACACAGTGGCTGGAGTGGTTATAAAAGGGCACATGTCAACTGAACAAATGAATGTATTGTAATGGTCTAGTTTTATGGGCATTTTGGCAGCTTTACCAGCTATATAATGTGGTCAGAATCTCAGTTCCAGCATGACATCAGTGTGGCTGCAGGCATTCGGTGCATGCGAGCTGTGATTAATGCTCAGCAGAGACCTGAAGGCGTTTCATTTTCTGTGCAGCTTTCCTCGAAGCACACCCAGCCATTTTCCCATGTAGGACATACACATGGCTACACTTTATGTAAACCGTGTCGGAGCAAGTTCTAAAGAATGTCTGAGTTTTATTTCAATGTCTTGACACCAAAGTAAGCCAGAAATATTTAATCAGAAGACCAAATCAGTCAATTAATTTACAGCTGCGGAACATCTGCAATTAATGTTCTCTTAAAAACAGTGCTCAGCAAAGGAGACTTTTTTCGTGAGAACGAAAAAGTATAAATGGACATTCAATAATTATTGGTCTGCAAATAAAGTTGGACACCAAAATAAAACACATTAAATAGATCTTCAATTGCAATGTCAACAAAGTCGTCACGTAAATTATTTCTGTTTGCGTTTATCTTAGAGCACGTGAAGACCTCCACTTACCTACAGTATCAGGTATTCTCTTTCCAGAAACCTTCAGGCAAAATTCCACTGAAAAGCTGAGAGAGGACAGCACAGATCACACGGGTTACAGTGTCCCCCAAGCCCAAATGCAACACATTGTGGCATTGACTGCACTTCCTACAAATAGGATTTCATGGTGATAAAGACAATAAACAGTCCAAATCCTCAACAGTTGCTTGTGATGTTTTTTTAACAATAATAATGGACTGTGTATAGTTGTGCGAGCACTTACCTATATTATTTCTACTCTCCAAATGTGTCAACTTTTCATCGATTAAAATGTCTGATGAACAAATTAATTGTGACGAAGCTTGGAAATTTTTGCGTGTAAAATGAAAGCCAGAGCACATTCCGACTAAATACAGTGACATCGGAAGAATATCATCTTCAGGAGAAGCAAATAAACAAAGCTGAAATAAGTAATTACAAAAAAACAATACTTGAACAGTGAATGGTAACTGCTATAAATGTTTACCTAACATTTGCAGCTTAAAATCTGATGGCCGCAAAAGTCCCTTCCCTAAGCATGCACTTACAGACACCACCACTCTCTATTTTCATCCAACTGTCTGTTGATAAAAACTATCACGTTTCAGTCAAATAACGCCAGTACCAAAGTGTGTCCACTCCACATTACTAAAGGAGCAGTGGGTGGATGTTCATTCCCACTCATTGGTCCTGGGCCAGTGATGGACGTTGCTCCACGCACCTATGGGAGTAACCAGTAACTGCAAAGGACCTTCACTGTCGGGACTACACAAAGCAATACACATAGCATAAGTATTAATTCGACCATTATCCAATCTAACAGGAAGCTTTGTTCACAAAGGTGCTTTGACTCATACGTGGTTGATGTCAGCAAGTTTCAGGAGAAGGTCACCATGAAGAATAACGCTGCTGAGTAGAGGCACGTGGACACGTTATCTCGAGAATGCAAGGAATGTGAAAGGAAATTGCTAACAGGTGAGGGCACATTCGGTGCTGGGATGTTCATTTAATTGGTACCAAGTGGCCACACAGAACCTTTCATCCACACGTCATGAAGAAAAATACAATGCCCCAAGTAGAATTGCTTTCTAGATTTCAAAGCCTGTAAGTTGTCAAGATTGAGATCGTATCATTTTTCCTTAAAAAGGAGAACCATTTTCAGATATGTTTGGACTGTTTTGCATGCTGGTTAGTTTGGTCACTTGCTACTGAACCTACCAGCCCACACGCGGATGAATCACACACGTGAATGAATCCCACTAAGTTTTTCTCAAAGGATTGATTACCCTACACTGAGCCATTCAAAGTTGCAGCACACCGAATAAAAGCACAGTATAAACACCATATTTCTAAAATAAAATGTATATATATTTACAAGTTTAAACAAAGGACAAAGAACAGAGAATGCACTCTCAAACTAAAATATATTCTAAGAAACTACAGCATTTCTTTGAACATAGTCATTGTTGTATGTACATCGTGTGTTATGCCCATGTTTATTATGATGTATAAGCATGGCAAGCGTAGCAGTAGCAGCAGCTACACATACACGACTAAAACAGTCAAACACTATTAACACGTGAAATTTACATCATCCATTAGTCAGTAGCAATTCCACTGACGCTCTCATTGTTCTCTTTAAGAACATTTAGAAGGTATTACAACATCCAGGCCCAGCCAAGGGAGCAGGGCAGCACAGGCTGCGATGCCTACACAAAACACAAGCCAGAATGGGGAGAGCATTGAAAATTCCTACCTCGCCACAGCCAGTGCCAACACACAACACTCTTACATTGATTTATGCCAGCATTTGCATGGCATTTCTGTTACTGCAAACTCCGGCATGTGACCCACATAGGGCAAAGGCGGTTTTGGCCATTTGTCAAATTAATTAGATTGGCCTACTTAGCCATGAAACTGCAATAGAGCCTTTGTATGGGGATTTTTTTTTTCATTGGGCACTTTTAGTGTGCTCGAGACATTCAGAAGCTTAAATCAATAAATAAGCTATACCTAATGTAGTTAAATAATCAAAAGGAGTAGTGTGGTGGTTGTCGATAGTGTTGGCAACCCTCAGCCACAGGTGGAAGTTTCACATTATTAAAGTGGGAATTAGATTTCCCAAAGACGATGACAACTTCTCACAAATGAGTAGATAATGCTCAATTTACAGACCCCAGGAGAAATAGCAAAGTGGATCGAGCTCTCACTGGGATTTTTAACTCACACCCTTCTGTGATGGACGGTCAAGAACATTCAGGCACAGTGCCACTCAACTATAATATTGCATCATGCAGTATGGATTATTTTAATCATAATAATAAGAAACAACAATCTCATCTGTGTGGTTATTTAGACCCTTGTCATATGTATATATGAATAAATATGTTCATGGAACTCAAGAAAAGTAAATCACAGGTGTTTAATTATACATTTGTCATGCTGGAACCGGCTTAGAAAATGCTAAAATTCTCCATTAATGTCTAAATTGTTCCTTTGGGCCACTGATATTGCAGCATTACTATGAAGGTAATAAACCATACTCATCAGCACAGAGGAGAGGGGTAATGTGCGCCTGGACTTGCTGAAGTCTAGTTGTGAAAAGTGGCAATAATAAAGCCGGCAGCAACAATGATGACGGGTGCACACGTCAGATACCCAAACGGGGCTTGTATTTGAGTTTTACTTTTGAAGCATGCTCCTGTTAAATAAAGGAATAAATGTTACCATGAGGCCTTTATCAGCAATATAAACTGAAACTTGTCAGACATGACATGCAATACTGGACGATTTATTTATTTACTGCGGTTTCTATTATGCCCTCTCACTCGCTCTTTAAGTCTAGATCCTGTGGCAGATTTTGAAGCGTCAGTTTCTCTGTGCAATCCAACAAGTTGGAACCGTATCAAGAAGGGGTAAGATTCACACCCACCCACTCACTACCCACCCTTCCCAGCAGTAAGTCCATGAATTGACAATTTGTAGTTTTTAATTATAATCGAATTTGTATTGTTTGTTTTGCTGTTGTTTGTAATTTGTGTTAAGGTTTTTGCTTGCTCCCGTGAGCCTAAATTTAACACGAGCGTATCAATTTCAAGCACTGCAAAACATTCTCACATGCGAAAATTGACGCATGTTCCATATTTATAAGAATCGGCTGTGATTTATGATTCAATGCAGCATTTATTGACGAACCAAGAAGATAAATAGCAAGTGGTTTATGATATAATTTAATTCAAGTATAAAGAAATGTCATTGCCATCACAAAATACTGTCATTATCACTCAAATGTTATAATCTATTCAGAGAAAACTGTATAGTATCCAGAGTTATTTTGCAGTTAACAGAGAAATTATATCTTATGTTTAATTAAAATTATTTTATTATTTCCATTCTACGTGACTTTACCGAAAGAACCAAGAAGATGAATCCCTGCAGTCACGAAAGCTTTAAATCGAAAGCGAAATGATACCTTTGAAATACCTTCTTGAAAACAATCCACTAGGAGCCAAACAAATTTAAACCATTCTTCAGATGTTGCAAATGCTCTGAAGTGTATAGAACCTTTAATAATGTAATGTGGGTTTTTGTATATCTAAATATCTACAAATTAATTATAGGAATTAAAAGCAAATTATGAATTCCAGCATAAGCATCACATATACCTTTGAAGTCTAGAACCATAAATCATATCAGCCAGTGGAAAAGGAATTGGGTGAAAAAGTGAACTTAAAAAAATTGAGTGGGTAAATGAAGAAATATTACTGAATGCAGCTGGGCCATTTAGCCTTAATTGACTTTTGGGGCAAGTGCTGTTAGCAAGCACCTCTGAAGGTCGGCACAGCCGGCACACCCGGGCCGCTTTCGTCTCCCCAGTGGTGATGTTTACACACAACACCAGGTACTTTATTGAAGTCGAGTCGACCTAGGGGAAGCCCAGGACCGGTTCAAATAATCGTCACCGATTTTGGCCATGAGCGGGAATGAAACTCAAGTCGCGGGTTCGTAGTGCAACGCACGAACCGATACGCTACCGCTCCCCACCGGAAGTGACAGAGACGTGTGCACACACAGGAAGAGATGAATGAGGCAAGCAGGTCAGTGCATCCAGCAAAAAACAAGGCTCACCAGGACTGCAGGGTAGCGTAACCAGTCACCATGCAGCTCCTGTTCTCAGGGTGCAGCACCATGGGGGAGACCGTGAGCTCCGCGCTGACCGTCACAACTGGGCGCGCCCTGCACAGAGTCGTGCGCACATCACCACGTTACCACCCGATTGTTCCTATCACTGCCTGTGCTTTACAGGGGAGTTAAGACTCGGTACCCTTGATGCCTGGAGTGGGCATGGGTGCTTAGTGTATGACTGGCATACACGCCAAGCACTTGTGGGGTTTACTCATCATCACCATCAATCGTATAGAATTGTATTATCATCACGCTAATGTTGGGAAAACCGGCACCTCTCGCGAGGCTCCATCAACTTGGTGGTGGTCAATAGTGGTTGTCGTTTACGTCGATTGCTTCTTGCAATAAAACCATGGAATTCCCACCACATGTCTCTTGCAGCGGCTTTTGGATAACTATAGAACAAAGATGGTCAGTGCATCGTGCACTCTCAGATGCGCTTTTGCGGCCGTCTGGAATGCTCTTGCTTCCAATAATAGGAAACCACTGGAGCTATGCACTTTCAAATGTAGGTGGAAAATGTATTTCTTTAGACCTGTTTTTGTGTTTAGTTTGTCGTCCTTCCCCCACACCTCTGATTAGAATGGTTGGCTACATACGGTGCAAAATAAGTTCAACATACATGATTACATGATCATAGTTCAAGTCACATTAGACCATAGGGACACCTTCAGATTTGACTGAACACACTCATGAAAATCAATTACTATATACTACAAACTCAATAATGAAGGTGCCCAGCTGGACAAAACATCAACTTTTTAAATCGTTCCCAGCAAGAGAAAAATAGATTGTATTATACATATTCCACACACATAACATTTACAACACCATGCTCTACGGAGATTATTTCCAGTTCTGGCAAAAAAAAAAGATTGCAAGACCAACAGGACTATTTCTTCACAGTCTCTAGAAAAATGATTCAGCAGTCTTGTGCAGCACATTGTGAGATATGCCTCATCACTGTCAGCTTATCTGGTCGGGGGTGGCCAGGTTTAGGGACAACAGCTATACTTGCGCCAGCACCCTCCGTAATTACACTAGTGAACAAAAAAATCATTTTTTTCTGGCCTGGACTTTTGCAGCTGTTTTAGACTAATTTCAGGGTGCCGATTCCAAATCTGATCTCACATCTCATTTTTATGCTATCGGTATACCCCATTTTCATTGATTTTACCCGAAATTAACTCTGTCACTTATGATTGCAAGTTGTTGCGAGTCAGTGACTGCTTTAGTGTTAAAATATGGTGCTGTATTTTTAGGATAGTGTGTTTATATCATTTTATGTAGATATCCACATTTATTTCATATTTTTTTTCTGCAGTTTTTATTGAAATATTTGATATCTCAAAAACCTGATGTGATAGATGCCAGATTTGGAATCAGCACCCCAAAATTACCTTAAAACCGTTGGAATACCTTATGCCAGAAAAAGTGTGTTGACCAGTGTTATCTTTCATCTCAGACATTCTCAGCCCATTGGTGCAGGCCCAGCACAAGACTCCTACCAGCCCAGTCCCCACTGAGGGCGTTTATTCTGTAGAGCAAGGCAAGGGGTCATGGAATAAGACCCCCGGGGAGCCAGACTTCAGCAATGATGAACAACATTGCTGTTGTTGCCATTTCATTTTATAGGCTTTTAAGAAATAATAATCTTCCAAAGTAGTAAGGGATAGGTACTCGGCTCCAGTGATACTGCCACAAGTGGTGACATTCACATGCCTAGGCCAAGGAGTAGCAGCTCCATAAACCCACAATTGATTACCACGAAGCAAGGCCATTGTTAAGTCAAGCAAAATGTTATTTATTACGTGATTATATAAATGCTATTTTTAAATACTGCAATGCACTATTATAGGATTGCACTATTTCCATATAATATTCGTAGAGTATATGGTTTGATTTGTGCCATATATACAAACATACATATAGTATACTGCATAAACTTGTATCTGTACAAATATGCACATGTTAACAAGTTAATAATGAATAAAGATATACTTATACATACATTTATAATATAAAGAAATATGTATATTTCTACGAATACAATAACCAAATCATCTACTACCCATTCCCTTAACACCGAATACCTCCATCGAACTAACATTATGTATGTATGTTGAACTTCTTTCGTACTGCACGTAGCCAACAATGATGTGCGACGCATACAAAGAGAGCGTCCCGTTGAGTGCTGCGCTGCCCTGTAACCTCAGCAGCGATACAGATTGTCGCCCTGTGCATAGTTCGCCACTCGCACGACTTGGAGGATAGGCACGGGTCAACAGGCAAGACTTGAGGACGTCAATCACGCGGGCATCAAGCCGGGTCAGAAACAGAGCCCTCGTGTGCAGCCTTTGTGCGTCCTACAGCGAGGCACGGCAAATTGAACGCCAGATACGGTTACGCCGCAGCATTTGCAGATAACCTAAATGGGCCACAACATTTCTCCCAGAGCACCGCACCGGTGGGTCACACAGGAACACCGCACGCCAGCATGAGCAGCGGTTTCTCCGAGCAGCTCTCCCCCCGCTGTAACGCGAGAGCACTCACCATGACCCAGCAACATCGGTGAATGCATCACCGTGACCAATGATGTTAACGCTGGCATGACTTTCCAACCACATGTTGCACACGACCGCTCTAAGTCTCAGTCCACGCTCATGGGTAATCGTAGCTGCACAAGCAGCAGATTGTGTGTCCCCGTTCAGATTTGATCTTTCTTTCCTAAGACGGGTTTTATATGAAGACACGGAGCAGCCATGCAGTCACTGACGTGGCGAGATGTATTTGACATTGAAATTGCACGTCAAACAAACTTAGTTTTTTTATACTAGGGAAGTGTGGCCATGTTTTTAAGTCATTTTAAACTAGTAATGTTCCTCTTACATCAATTTAAATATTTATTGTCAAACCGAGTTTAAGGTTATTATCCTCATTTTTGTTTTAATCTAAACATTATGACTATTCCACAAAGGTGTATTGATGATTTCCAAAACAATGTGTTCTTTATTACACAATTAATGTGCCGAAACCTAATCGCTACGTGTATATGAGCGTTAACTAAGAGACGATCTCTTCCAATGCTCCTGCCAAAGTAATCTGCTCGTTTTCCTCATATATAAGAGGGTGTGGGGTTAGATTCTCACCCAGAGACACGTTTTTATTCAGAGTTTGCATGTTCTCCCCGTAGTCATGTAGATTTTTCTCCAGATCCTCTGGTTTTTTTCCCTCCCCATTAAGAAACATGTGTTTAGAGTATTTGGCTGCTAGAAATGTTCACGTGATAAGCCACTTCATTGGGCTATCAGTTGTAGCCAGGTCACCTATAAAAATTAACCCGTAAAAACAAAGTTTTTCACTATAAATCCTTTATGCGTGGAATCGGGGCGGCTAGAGTCCTCTCGTCCTCTGGCTTGAGATGGCTGCCACCTATGGGTCAGATGATTGTCTGCCAGCATTAAGCAATTGGTAATTAAATATTTAACATTTTTTCCCTAAACAGTGTAAAATGTTGGAAAATCTTTTTCACGAAAATTAATTGTCGCGCACAACGAGTCTGTGTGCAAAATGTCAGCTCGATTGGATGACGGGAAGTGGGTTAAAAAACGACCGAAAGACTTGCACGGTCGTAAGCAAGCAAGCAAGCAAGTGAACTTAATATAAAGGATTTAAAAAAGAGCTGGCAAAACAAAAATAGCGGAGGAAATAGTTTAGGTTAACAGTGCAACACTCACCTATACACAATGGCCTTGTCCACTCCGAAGGCTCCAACAATCAAATCTGTAATAAAAACAGGAGGGAAATGTATACTACATCGTTTCCTCTTGTCCATACATAGCAAAACACAACACCCATTCATATCACCCCCTATAACGTTCTGAAACGAAACCCCATTCGAGTGTCAAGCTAAACAATGACACGCCCATCATCAGCGGGAACAATGTTCAATTTAACCATCATCCCTCATCGGAGATCAGCGCTGTTCACGCTTCGTGATGCTGCACATTCTGTGGCAACACTTTCATGCACTGAATAACACAGTATTTAATTAACAAGTCCATTGCATTTTTTTCTGGTAATGGATTTACAATGTGGGCATGGGGCAGCTAGAACCACAGCAATAGTTTTGTGTATTTATATGCAGTACACCCATTTAGTATGCAAACTTCAACAGTACTGTCCTATAGTTGCAAAAACATTATTTTAACCTAAACTTAAATGCAAGAGCAAAAAAAACCCTCAAATAAATCAATATCAAAACTTCTTAACAAAACTCATTTGAAATGCAAAATGGTTTCAGATATCTTTAGAAGTCCAGGTGCATTGATGCAGTAACAAAAATAATAATAATGACGATTGAGGTTGATTGAAGCAGTAAGTGGCCAAAGAAAGAGAGCCAAGTCAGAAATGTGTTAGTCGTGACTTGACAGAAGATGATGCATATTCTTAGGTTTTTTCGGTAAAGTCACGTGGGTAAAACATCAAAATTAATAAAAATAAAATAAAATAAAGATCACGACGTTTCGGAGGCAACACAAGTCTCCGTCATCAGGTGGGACCGTCACAGCCAGATTAGCTGCATCAAGTGAGGCAATGATTCAAGATGTAATCCCTTCTGATGAGCTCCCCCCCCCCCCTCTCCTCCCCCCTCAACTCGCTTTTAAGGGATTACATCTTGAATCATTGAATCATTGCCTCACTTGATGCAGCTAATCTGGCTGTGACGGTCCCACCTGATTACAGAGACTTGTGTTGCCTCCGAAACGTCGTGATCTTTATTTTATTTTTTATTAATTTTGATCTTTTACCTACGTGACTTTACCGAAAAAACCTAAGAATATGAATCATTGCAGTCACGAAAGCTTCAAATCTAGAAGATGATGCATATAGCTCTCACAAAGCACCCACTGGACGGAAGGCCAAGCTCTAAAAGTGGACTATTTATATTTGGATGAAAAGCTGAACTGGAAATTGGTTTTACTCGTAGAATTCCTTTCGTTTCACCTGCTACGAAGGCGGTTCCAATTCTCTAACTTGTTGTTTATATATTTCGATTGGGTATTGATGCATGCAGACATCATTATCTGGAAGTTCAGGATTCCCAGCAGCTGGTCAAGCAAGACTATTTGTGGTTATGCGATGCCATCCAAGCCGGATGAGAGTAAAGCTCCCCCCGCTTATTGGGAGGTGGTCATTTATTCTAATTTTGGCCGATTCCACTGAACGTTATCTGGCATCCAGAGAAGTAGGGATTGGAGAGTGGCACCACGGCTTGGTTCTTAAAACATATCGGTCAGGACATGTTATTATTAAGTGCTTCATAAAAGTCATACTAATAATAGTATTACTCTGTATTCAGAATTGTCTTCAAATGCATGAAATATGCATCACAGTGTATAGTGTGCTGACATGGCAGAAGACAATTTCTCTGAACTGTCAAAATCTCTCCCGTTTATATGAAATGCATTTTTTTTTATCACTCTTGCAGTGGTGCTAAAATGTAATATAACTTTCACAGGACCCAATGAGGTGCTATGAGCCTGCTAATATGCTCCACATTCACAAAGAATGGAAGAAGCCAAAGGGTAGAGAAGCACTTCTATGAGAGAAACTAAAAACCGTTTGAAAAACTCCAAACGAAACCTTTTACAGGGGGAAAACAACTCCAATGCTGTAAAGTGTGCCGCGCTGCTTTCAATCCGAATGAACAAGAGTAAACATTTAGAAATAGCTCCTTTGATATTAAGATCTTGGCTAAGGTGTTTCTGGCTATATGCAGAGGAAGTTCTGCAAATCTCGAGGCAGCAGAGGGTGCAGAATCGGTCACTGGTATTCTTCAACTAGCGTCATGGGAAAAAAAGGGCCAAGATGGAAAATTTCGATAAAATAAATAAATTAACGTAACTCTTCAGATAATTTTCTATGTTTTTTAATTAATAATATATTTTGTGTAAAAAAGCATACAATTTTCTTATTCCATCTGTAAAACTAGTTGGCGCAATTAGGGTGAACATATCCACACACACATTCCCCAAACACATTAACATTGGCGTGAAAAGAAAAACACGGCGTGTGTACATGCCATGTGCGACGCTGAGCGTGTGCTGCTGGACAGACTAACAAATGATGTGACCATGTTGATGTAGCATCTCTTGATCACACAACACTGGGAAAATTGCACACATCCCATTGTACATTTAAAATTCCATTCGAAAAAGTCAGCAAAAGGTTGAAACTAGTTTTTCGTAAAACATTAATGTCAGTAGCAAACATTAAAAGGCAAATTAGATAAAACATTAAAATTAATAAAAGTAAAATAAAATAAAAATCACGACGTTTCGGAGGCAACACAAGTCTCCGTCATCAGATGACGGAGACTTGTGTTGCCTCCGAAACGTCGTGATTTTTAATGTTTTACCTACGTGACTTTACCGAAAACACCTAAGAATATGAATCCTTGCAGTCACGAAAGCTTCAAATCTAGAATTAAGGCAAATTAGAGTTTCTTGAGGTGCTATAAAATTAAGCACACCCAAGAGGCAAGCGGAGTCCACACACGTGCAATGTAGCCATGACACTTCTTGCCATTGCTCAGTCAATGCCCCCTTCCCCCTCCCCCCCTTCTGAAACCGAGCACCGAGAGCCGGTGCTTCTTCTCTGCCCGCGGTACACGTGCTGCGTGTGTTGTTATAGCTCAGAGTGAGAGCCAAAACCACACGGTCTTCATTGCAGGATGTTTATAAGCCTTCGTTGTGGCTTGCACGAACCCATTGGAGGAGAAAATGACTTTGCGTTGATACTTCCATGCCTACTTGGGGTTCAGACAGAGTCGGCAGCCTTTTGTGCACAACATTAACAATTAAATTAAGGTCACTTAGTTACAATGGAAACTCACAATCAGTGGTGTGCCATTGTTTAGACCCCATGTAACCCAACAATTAATCTTTCAAAAGCAGACCGTACCACTCTGGAGCAATCGCAGTGCTGGCCCGGTTTCCTTCAAATGTTTTCCCATTTGACTCTCCCGTTTAAAACCACGCACCTATCTGCTGCCATCTTTGCAGGAAAAATAACAGTCATTATTTGGAGGCGGTTTTTTTTTACCGAAAGCAGTAATTATGGGGTCATTATGCAGCCTGAATCCTGGGCCAATTAGACCTGGAGGCGACGGCAACTCATAGGTTAACCAAAGGCCAGAGAGCTACTTGCACTGAAGCTAAAAGGGCTTTCCCTTGTGTTGGGGTTTGGATAACCCAGAGTAATTCACAACTGCTGCCACTTAGGGAGTCAATTGTTCGACTGTTTGCAGACCGATTCTGTTCGTAGGTACAATTGTGCGAAATAGCGTCGGGGACTAGAGCAACGATGTAAAATTATCTTTGAATGTGATACAATTAATTATTGAATTTCCTCGCATCGAGGTGACAATGCATGCCTGTAATGCAGCAATTTGGAAGCAGAGGGGTCTCATGTTAATAATGATGGCAAAGATAGTGACATCATTAGCATGACACACCAACTTACAGGGCAGAGGGGTTCTGGAAAACGCAGTAGAGCGAGTAGGTTGTTGACCCATCAGCAGAATTCCCTGTTTTACACTCACATGAGTGGTGTTTCTCCAATCACCCAGTTGGTGTTGCTGATCACATCCCTTGATGTACCAATACTCACTAACAGCACTTACCTCAAATGCCTGTACACACAATCTGTATGCCAAAATAGACGATCTGTCTTTTGCTTATGTGTGCTAATGTAGGGTCAGATGGAGGATACTGTTTTTTAAGCTTGCATGAGCAATTGATCAACTTTGCTCTTAAAACATACTGCCTCGCTAACACATTGTCTGAAATTAATCACTTTTTGCTGTAGATAATAAATAGCCTTGTTCGTTTTAACACGTAAGAGGCCGTCCATAAATATAAATGACGTCACGCGATTTTGGACGATTTCTGACCCCCCCCCCCCCCCGCGTCTTCACAAAAAGCCAGACCACCCCTAAAATATGACGTCACAAAGCTCTACCCCCCCCCCCCCCCATTTTTTTTTGTCAACATGCTTCAAATCGCTTTAAACTATTGCCATTGTAGTGCGTATTTAATGTGGCACTGCACTCTGATGTTGTAGAAGAAAACATTTATTAAAAAGTCTATTTAATTAAATCGAACGTTTTGTCTATATTTATTTAAAGTTGCACATTTTGATGTGACGTCACATTTCTCCCCCCCCCCCCTCTCGTCACGCATCGTCACAAATGTCTGACCCCCCCCCCCCAGGTGAGTGACGTCACGTGTAGTTGTCTGGGCTCGGCGAGAGGTGTTGAGCATTCCTTCTGTCAAGCTTTCATCACCCACGGACTGCAGGCAGTTCCTTAAGATACCAAGTTGCATTGGGTTTTATTTTAGCCATCAAAATACGAGAAAAAATGGCGTCCAAAATTGAGAAAATGCACCAAATTTAGTCATCCCGATCACATAAACAAAAAACTACAAAATGTTTACAGTCGATAACTTATTTCCTTCACAAGCAGTTTTCTGATTGAAGGGATAGCCAGATACTGAAGTCATATTTTCCCACCAGCTTTCAAATGACGTGCCTCAATACTGGTATCTTAATAATGTTGTTATAATTGATAAACTGGAACAACAAACCCTACATCCATTCAAGATAAAATATCATGAAACTGTTCTACAAGTGCAAGCACCAAACTACGTCCAGCCACAAGAATGCCGGGTCACTACTTTTTTATGTTTGCCACATTGTAGTTGCATTAAAAAGGTTTA